ATAATATTTCCTGCGAGCATTAAGACAACGACTTGGTAAACTTTAGACAGGCCCTGTATTCATTTTAATTATTTGTGAAGGCGGATTATTTTACCTCAGTCTGTATTTGTCTTCCCCAGCAGGGATGGAACGGGTTATTTCTTGATCATATAGCGTATTTAAGGTAATTTTTCGATGATCGCAGACGGATTCGCGTGTGTTACGATCAGAGGTTTTAAAGAACGTTATTGTGCACAGATCTAGCACTTGTTTTGTTTGTTGACTGGTTGTCATCCGGGCGAAGTGACAGACGATCAAGAGAGAAATTGTTATAAATACGAATGCTGGGTAACAGTCAACTATATATGAGACGAAGATAAAATTCATAGATTACTTTATTATTTGTTTAATTGATTAAATTTTAGTGCAGATTCGTTTTATAGTTCTGTTATTAAGTTGAGACAATCTATGAATATCGTTTATGCGCTGAAATATTATTCTTCTCCTTCTGTTTTTATATAACCGAGAGTCTAGGAACCAAAGATGTTTTATAATGATATGTCATTGATTTTGTAATTAGCAGTGCAGTATTTTTGAGGAGTCATTTGTACCGTCAATGGAAAAAGCAATCGAGACGGGTATGATGATTTGTCATGAAGAGAAATTATCAGTGTTCTTTTCTTTCTATAAATCACATAGCAATTAATCGCGATGAGAATGTATCACCGGCGCCGACAATCGCGCCTCACAACCCAATTTTTCTAAGTGCACGTTTAACGACTCTAAACGTATGTATGTACGTGATTTACAATGTATTGTAGATTATCTTGCATCAAGAATTTTTCCTATTTATACACGATGTTATCAAATTATATTATTAAGTAAGCTATCCGTATTAAAAGCTGTGCGATCCTTCAAGTTGGAATAATATTACAATATTTTCTCTTTGAGTTAATTAACTAGATGTAACATGATGAAGCGAGAAAATGGATTCAGCAATTCAGTTTTTCGTTAAATGTTGTGATGTCTCCTTCCAGTATTTATTTTATAATTATTGCCAATTCTATTATGTGATTTAATCCTAATTTGAAGATTGAAGAAAGTGAAGACAGCTTTTAAATACGAAACTCTCAAGTGTTAGTCGTAGCAACCTCTTCAGTGATATTTATTAAAACTTTGTGCTTCTTTTTTTATGCGGAACTAATTAAGGATGGATTTGTTTTTTTATTTTTAATATGCAAACGCGTACGATGTATACCTTTTGATACGATTTTGCGAGACAGACTGACGACAAACTATTTTCCTGCGAAGCGTTTCTTGTACTTTTGTAAATTGTTTGTTGTAAGGACGTTTAATTGCCTTTGCCTCGATTGATCGTTCAGTCTTCCCTCATCTACCTCTTAATAATAAATCGATCTATTTGTGCTTCGACAACTGAAATTGAGTATACCAAAATCAATTCTCTTACTAATTATTCAAATAAAACGAACATCTTCTAATCTTCTTCAGCTTCCATATAAACAATCTTCCAATAATTCACTCGGGGAACGATCAATCGATGTTTCATCTTTTTATTAGCTGCGGGGGAGTGAAAGATTTAACTAAACGAAATGTTACTGGCATAGTTAAGGGAATTTTTTTACAAAACGCGTTAACAATCGAGGTTTGTTGTAAGATGAACGGGCGTGAATGCGCACAGATTCCGTGAATAAAATTTCATGTATGATAATAGAGAACGCGAACGTCTCGTGGAAACTGTCAGAAAATATAGAGAAGAAAGGAATTAAATCTACGATTTAAGGAATACCTACGTGTGACTGAAGGTACAATTTCCTTTTATATGTATACACGAATATTTGCATTTGTCTGTCGACGAATGGAAACGAAAGTCGAAATTCTTATTCCATATGTGTG